AGATAGATAGATAGATAGATAAAAAGGTGTCAACATAGATATCAACAGATATAATACATAGATTGATAGGCAGATATGAGCAGAGATAGAATGATATCAATATAGATAGATATTGACAGGCATAGATATCAGCAGAGATAGATAGGTAAAAGAGAGATAAATAAATCAACATAGATAGCAACAACAAACTTGCTAACCTTTAGACCGGCTAGATGTGTCCAGTATATATATATATATATATATATATATATATATATATATATATATATATATATATATATATGTAAAAGGAAGATAGAGAGATAAATAAGTGTCAACATATATATACTCATTGATTAAAGGCAGCATTTTTTCATTCATACGTGTTTAACTACCCCGGACGAACTGGAGGAAATTACACATAGACTCACGGAAATTCCCAACAAATCTGAAGCTCATCGGCGATTTGAATAGCTGAATATATTATACAAAGGTATTATCACTGTTCATAACAAAACTGATATATATATATATATATATATATATATATATATATATATATATATATATATATATATATATATAGCAAAACAAGGTAAACTGAATTTTTCCAATCGACTGTTTCATAGAAAATACCCAAAACACTACTGAATTTCAAATTAATTTCTTCGTAGATTGTTTAGACATTTAGATATTTATCAAACCTTAACCTCCCAAATATGCACGTTAAAGTAACGCGAATTAACAGCATCTGAGAATTTGAATGAAACCTGTTGTGGAATGTAATTGATTGGAGTTGTTGTAGCTTCTCCCTCACCCCTTAGCCATCTATATCTAGAGACGAGACGCGTTAAATTTGAGCAACATCTAGCCGACACACTGGGGTTAAAAATAGGAAACTAAAATGATACATATGACACACTCATATCCTCTCTCTCAACTCACTCCCTCACTTCGTTAACTTTACGTAGACTTGATGAGGTCCGTAAAAAAACGTGTAAATTTCTTTTCACTTTTCATTTCAGCTTTTGGAAGTAAAGTCTGATGATCCAGAACCCTGTTAAAGGGGTTATGGTGAAATAACTTATTACATGGAATCTTAACGTGGTCTGTTTTTTTATTCAAATATATATATATATATATATATATATATATATATATATATATATATATATATATATATATATATATTTTCTGTTATAACGCTAGTTCATGTTGGCCATTTTGCCCGATATTTGGTAAGTAATATCTAGTAAAGTTGTTTTAGTTGTATGTGGAAGGAAAATTAAAAACTCATTGTTGAATCTTTTTTTTTTTTTATCAAATTTCAAAATTACCCTATGCAAAATTATTGGATACATCAGTTTAATATTTTGTTGTATAGCCTCTGTTTTGTTTCACTGCTTCCAGTCACTTTCTATAGTTGGCCACAAGTTTTCCACACTGATCCACCGTTACGTTACCCCATTCTTCCTTGCATAATTCCTCTAATTGCTTGATATTTTGTGGATTACGCTTATGAACTTTAACTTTCAAAGTATTCCACAAACTCTCAATTGGATTCAAGTCAGGAGACTGACTTGGCCAATTGAGAGTACCAATACCATTATTTTCAAACAATTCCTTTGTAAGTTTTGCGGTATGTTTGGGATTATTGTCGTGTTGAAGCATGAAATTCCGACCATGTCCTAAAGAACTTGCAGATTTCTGAAGGTTCTTCTCTAGAATCTCCCTGTACATGCTACCATTCATTCTACCATGGATAACTCCAGTGCCCTTGGATGAAAAGCATCCCCATATCATAATGGAAGCACCCCCAAACTTAACTGTGGGAATGGTATTGTGCTTGTTGAATGCAGTGCCATTTTTTCGCCAAACACTTGTCGCTGTGTTCCTTCCGAATAGTTCAACTTTCGTTTCATCCGACCAGATTACCTTTTCCCAAAACTGCATACCTTTCTTTTCATAAGTTTCGACAAACTTTAATCGGTCTTTGACTTGTTTGGTTTTCAGTAAAGGCACTTTTTACTTGGTGATCTTGAATGAAAGTCTGTACGATATAGAGCTCTGCTAATGGTATCCTTACTTACATTAATCCCAGCAACCTCAAGATCAGTTTTAGTTTCAGAACGAGTAATGAAGGGTTTTTTTGCACATTTCTGCTGATCCACCTTGAAGTACTCTCATTTATTTTTCTTGGTCTTCCATTTCTTGGAAGGTTTGCTGTACCGACGCCATACTTCTTATACTTTCTGATGATATTTCCTACTGTACTTAGTGCTAGATTCATTTGTTTGCTAATTTTTCGGTAACCTTGTCCTCCTTTGTGACTTTCAATGATTCTACCTCGCATATCTCTGGATAATTCTTTATTTTTTGCTATTTTTAATCCTTGAATTGCAGAATGCACATCAAAGAGTCAGATGATTAGTAGCACTATCTTGTAAACAATTGTGTGCTTCTCTGATTGATCAGGGATACCATTCCAATACTATCGAAAATTTGAATATTTAATGTCTTTTAAAATACAAAGTTTCGATTGGAAATTTGAAAAAGTGTCAGGTATTCAATACTTTTGCATAGAGTAATTTTGAACTTTGATAAAAAAAATGGATTCAACCATGAATTTTTAATTTTCCTTCCACATACAACTAAAACAACTTTACAAGATATTACTTACCAAATATCAGGCAAAATGGCGAACATAAACTAAGAGTTATAACAGAAAATAACATGTATCCAATACTTATGCGTGTCACTGTATATATATATATATATATATATATATAAATAATTCCATGATCATTTTCCAACTTATTCAAGATGATCTTCGCACTCTCTAACCTTCTAACTTCCTGCGCTGTAGTAACAAGTCGCCTCTCACGTTTCACGTACGATTTCATTTTCAAGTCTTTTTTTCCCACTGCTCTTTGGACTTTCATAGCTGAAACTCCTCTCTCACGTACCAAACATCTTGTGTGTTGAGTTGGATTGTTTTCTAATTGATCTCTTTAACTCTAAGTTGAAATGATGATCCCTCTTCCTGTTGTGACCTCCTGATCCAGTTTTCCTTTCTGGTGTTCCATGTTTTTTAAACTTATTTACCGATCACTTGATGATTTCTTGATTTACACATATTAGAAGCCGTTTGCCTCAAACTGCAGCGGCCATCTCTTTGCAAGCATATTTCTCTGTATGCCATGCCTTGTAATATTACGGAGTAAATTCTCTTTTCTATTACATTCACTATAAAACGATTGCAACTTAAAAATACACAGAGAAAATATAAATAAATTGTGTAAAATTAGTATACAATTTACCTTGTTTTCTATCGTAATTAGACTAGCATTTTTTATATCAAAATTATGATTTACGGTGAGCAACTAATGCGTTTAAATGTGCTGTTTTCTAAAATATCCTTTTTCGTTCATATATTTTTTATTTAAATTTCTTGACGTTTCACTAATATATTCTTTATGACAATCATTACAGGTAGATTTCTCCCTCAAGTTTTAACTGAATGTTTGTTTTTTATTGATTAAGTCCTTTATTGTTTTAGAGGCAATTTTGACAAATTCTATGTTTAGTTTTGATAAAATTCTTTTCAATTTTAGTTTTGATAGAGTTAGTGGTTAGAACAATATATTTTTGATTCGGTAGGTTTTCAGGAAGGACCGCTTTTCTATTTTGTCATATTTTATGAGGATTTTGTTCTGCATTGAATATGAAATAATTAGGGGATTGAAGTTTCTTGAAAGTATTTTTAATTTATTTCTCTTTTTCATGTAAATATTGAGGGCTGCAAATTCTGAGTGCTCTTTAGTAGAAAAATTTGTCGTTATGATGGAAATAGAATGAGATCATTTTTATTAACTGATCTTCGGTGGATTCAACCCGGACGCTTACATCAAGTGCCGTGAGTAGATAGTGCTGCCCTTGGTCATCACTATGACTGGCAACAGGACTGTTTACAGTGACACGGAAGCAGGAGAACTCAGTCATGACTGTCAGACAATTTCTGAGACAACATCAGCCTTTACCTTAGGCCTTCTAACTTACGAGACAGCAACCCTCTTGATTGTTATGCGAGGGGCGCAGTTGAGCGGGAAACTAACAAAATCTTTTTAACACGAAACATGAACTGAAGGCAATGATTATGACAGCATTCACCAACTTAAACAAGGAGACCCTCCAGGAGATTTGGAAGTCGTCTAGAGTTTGCGGTTGAAGCCAATGGCGGTTACATTGAATAGATTTACTCTTTAGTATTTCGAGATATTATGTAATTTTGGTAAATATATATCTCTTAAAATGAGATATCAGTGTTATTTTCAATTTTGCGTCATTTAGACAATAATTTATCCATCCCACCTTCTGTGTGCGTGTGTGTGTATGTATATATATATATATATATATATATATATATATATATATATATATATATATATATAGAAAGAGAGAGAGAGAGAGAGAGAGGGAGAGAGAGAGATAGAGTTAGACTGTTTGAGGCACTGAGATAGATGGATAGGTAGTTAGGTATGCTTGAGAATATATAGCTAGAGAATATATAGATATTTTTGTGTAATTTTAGTAAGTATATCACTTAAAATGAGATATCAGTGTTATTTTCATTTAGACAATTTATCCATCCGCATTATATATATATATATATATATATATATATATATATATATATATATATATATATATAGAGAGAGAGAGAGAGAGAGAGAGAGAGAGAGAGAGAAAGAGTTAGACTGCTTGATGTACTGAGATAGATGGATAGGTACGTCGGTATATAGGACAATTTAGCCATACCGCCTTGTGTGTGTGTGTGTATATATATATATATATAGAGAGAGAGACAGACAGACAGACAGAAAGAAAGAGAGACAGAGAGAAAGACAGAGACAGAGAATGAGAGAGAGAAAGAGTTAGACTGTTTGATGTACTGAGTGAGATGGATAGGTAGGTCGGTAGGTAGGACAATTTATCCATCCGCCTTTGTGTGAGTGTATATATATATATATATATATATATATATATATATATAGAGAGAGAGAGAGAGACAGACAGACAGAAAGACAGAGAGAAAGACAGAGACAGAGAATGAGAGAGAAAGACACAGAGAGAGAGAGAGAGAGAGAGAGAGAGAGAGAGAAAGTGTTAGACAGTTTGATGTACTGAGATAGATGGATAGATAGGTCGGTATGTAGGTAGGTATGCTTGAGAATATATAGATCTTTTTGTGTAATTTTTAGTAAATATATCCCTTAAAATGAGATGTCAGTTTTATTTTCATTATTGCGTCATTTAGACGACAATTTATCCATTGCGCCCTGTATACATGAAAAAAAAAAGAGGAACTGAAGGCAGTCATTATGTCAGCATTCATCAACTTAAACAAGGAGACTGTCCAGTAAAAATGCAGGAAACTTCGAAGAGAGTGGGATGATTGAAATCGATTGAAAACAATAGGGATTTTATTTTCACAAGCAGGAGAACTCAATCATGGCTGTCAGTCAATTTTTGCGACCACATCATGCCTTACATGTGGCCACCTAACTCCTCGGAACTCAACCCCCTTTATTATTATCCGTTGGTCGCAGTTGAGCGAGAGACCAACAAAACTCTTTGAAACATCGAAGATGAACTGAAGGTAAGGATTATGGCAGCATTCACCAATTTAAACAAGGAGGCTGTCCAGAGGAGATGCAGAAGATTCGGAAGTCATCTGAAGGCCGTGGTTGAAGCCAATGAAGATTTTTATTGAATAAATTTACTCTTTAGTATTTCAAGATATTTTTATGTAGTTTTGGTAAATATATTGTTGTGTCGGAAACCTACCACCCCTCTTAAAGATGAACTTGTCTGCGTCTGTGAACAAAGACTTTAAATAGTGGCATGTCAGTTGACATGGGAGAAGACAGATAGACCGAGTCTAGCTGAGTCGTGATACAGTCTTTCACTGTAAGCGACGTCTGTCGAACTCTCTGCGTTAGCAGAGAGGAACCCGGACGAAGCTTAGCCGAAGGGCATGGTTTCGTCCGGGGAGGTAGACAGGGCCTGAACCCGTCTAGGCGGGTTCAAAGGCTATATTTTTGGCCGAGCCTACGGGCTCGGATATACCTACATTAAACCGGCCTTGTGCCATATTCAATCCTCGTGAGTGGATCGATAAATACTAAGACAGATAGACCGAGAGAGTAAGACCTCCGAGTCTAGCTGAGTCGTGATACAGTCTTTGACTGTAAGCGACGTCTGTCGAACTCTACGTTAGCAGAGAGGAACCCGGACGAAGCTTTGCCGAAGGGCAAGGTTTCGTCCGGGGAGGTAGACAGAGCCTGAACCCGTCTAGGCGGGTTCAAAGGCTATATTTTTGGCCGAGCCTACGGGCTCGGAGATACCCACATTAAACCGGCCTTGCGCCATATTCAATCCTCGTGGGTGGATCGATAAATACTAAGACAGATAGTCAGAGAAGTTCTTAGCTGAGCTAGTTATTGACTACTCAGGCGATTTCTGTACCTTTTTACCAACCTATTAAAACCCTTTTTATTGTTACGTGTTATTTGGCGTTTGTCTCTACTAACCCCAAATCAACATCATAACATATATCTGTTAAAATGAGATGTCAGTGTTATTTTCATTTTTGCGTAATTTACACAATAATTTATCCATCACACTCTGTAGTTTTCATAGAAGAAATATGTCATGGGTTGAGGTACCTGGGGACCTTATAATTAAACAAGTAAAAAAATCCTATTTGTGTATTATAGTAAGAAAGGACTAAATATATCACAAAGAAATCCGGAGGTTGGTATTTTTTGATTCTCTGGGGTTATCATATTTTTTTTTTGTTGATGTGATTGTTGCACATATATAAAGAGAGAGAGAGAGAGAGAGAGAGAGTGAGAGATAGAGAAAGAGTTAGACTGTTTGATGCACTGAGATAGATGGATAAGTAGTCAGGTATGCGTGAGAATATATAGATAGAGAATATATAGATTTTTTGTGTAATTTTTAGTAAGTATATCTCTTAAGATGAGATATCAGTGTTATTTTCATTTTTGCGTCATTTAGACAGTTTATCCATCCGCCTTATATATATATATATATATATATATATATATATATATATATATATATGGAGAGAGAGAGAGAGAGAGAGAGAAAGAATTAGACTGTTTGATGTACTGTGATAGATAGATAGATAGATAGATAGATAGATAGATAGATAGATAGATAGATAGGTCGGTATTTCAAAAAATACTATCATTGGAAATGGTTACAATTCTTTATTTGATTTCTCTGTCTTCAGGTCTTAGAATACGACGCCGGCTTCCTCTATAGGAGAGTAAGACTCCCAACAGCCACTCTCTTACTTGTAGACACGGGTATAAATCTGACGTGTGTCTTTTTTTTAATGTTCCATGTCCTTTCAGGACGTAGGCGATCATGGCTCTCCAACTCAGTCTATCCCCTGCAGCTCACAGCAAGCATCTTCCCTCTGCTTCCTCCCCCAGAGCACATTCTGTCATCCACCTGCTCAAGTTCATCAGGTATGTCACACGCTGCTTTCCTTTGTGTTTCTTTCCCTCTATTTGACCCGTGAGTATCAGATTCTCCATTCCCTCCTTCCTCATTGTGTGTCCCAGAAACTTTAGCTGCCTCTTTCTGATGTTAAATATAACCCTTCTCCATGTTTGTAACCTCTTCAAGACCGCATCGTCGCTCACATGCTCGGTCTATGATATCCTTAGCATCCTTCTGTAGAACCACATCTACGTCGTCTCATGTCTCTTCTTCATCTTTGAGGAAATCGTCCAGCATTCGCTGCCGTAAAGAAGGACAGATGTCGCGCTCAGTACTCTTTTTTTTGTTACCAAAGAAATCTTCCTGTCTCCTAATACTCTGCCTATCTTCAGGAATGCGTCTTTGGCCATCCCAATACGTCTTCGGATCTTAGTGTCGCACTTCCCCAGAATACTTTTTTTCCCTCATCCCTCATCGTTGCTCACACGGTCCATGATATCCTTAGCATCCTTCTGTAGAACCACCTCTCCGTCGCCTTATGTCTCTTCATCCTTGAGGAGATCGTCCGACATTCGCTGCCGTAAAGGAGAACAGATGTCACGTAACGTCTCAGTATTCTTTTCTTTGTGACCAAAAAAATCCTGCTGTCTCGAAATACTCTTTTTTTTTTAAATTTGCTCTTTTGTAAATTGTACCAATGCCTACCATTTTTGACTCCAGTTTAAAATGGAAAATGTCTATCCTTTTCCTCTAGTATAACCTGACTGTATGTCTAAATTTTGACTCAACTATAAACTGAACCTACGTAATTGTAGTTCAAATCGGACCTATATCTGCCATTTGGTTCCATTGTAAACGGAACCTTTGTAATTCTAGTACAAACCGGGCCTATATCTGCCATTTTGATTCCGTTGTAAACGAAATCTTCGTAATTCTAGTGCAAATCGGACCTATATCTGTCGTTTTGACTCCACTGTAAACGGAATCTACTTATTTCTAGTGCAAATCGGACTTATATCTACATATTTGACTCCACTGTAAACGGAAGCTTCGTAATTTTAGTGTAAATCGGGCGTATATTTGTCATTTTGACTCCACTGTAAACGGTACCTACATATCTCTAGTGCAAAACGGACCTATATCTGCCATTTTGACTCTACTGTAAACCAGACCATTGTATACCTCTCTGACTAATGTAAGCCAGACCTATGTTTTTTTTACTCTAGTTCAAATCAGCCGTGTGTCTGCCATTTTGATTTGAGCTTAAACCAATCATCAGTGTCCTTCTTTGTCATTCTCCAGTGCAAATCGAACCCCTGAGGAAACTGAACATAGAACAGGCTGCGCTTGAGGTAGCCTCGCCCAACATCATAAATTGAGGCAAAAAAACAAAACATTAACCTATAAACACGAGTCGTGTTCTAAAATAGCCTCGTCGGATGGAGATTTCCACATGGCTATCAGGCATGGCGCCAAACTTATTCAGAAATATTTAATGTGTGTACAACCGCTTTCTAAGAACAATGGTCAAAATTACTTTGTGCTCCCAAGATCCACAGTCTGAGTGAAGCCTGTGGATCTTTTTGAGGACCACCCTTCTTCAAATATTGTGAACTGGCGCTACAGAATCACGAGGAGCTGTACAACGTAATAGAAACCTCGTCACTTGAGGACTTTCAAAAGCAGCAAAAACTACAAAATGGATATTATATATAACTCGAAAAGAAAATAATGACGTAATTAAGATGTTGATGTTCCACGCTGTTTCAAACAAAAGGTTAGGAAGGAAACTCCCATCAATACTGTGACGTGCGACAGCAGCGACTCGATTTCAGAAACCAGTTTTCCTGAAAAATTGTTTTAACCCTTTGATCGCTGCGTTCCTGGAGAATTTTAAAACTTCCGTCTGAGCTCCTCAGTCAAAATTCGCAAATAATTGATATGCAATTCCTTCACGGTAGATATGAAAATAGTTACAGGTGTTTACCCACCGTTCAACCGGAAGCTGGGTATTAAGTCATTTATCTCTACCACTGTTCAACCGGTGCTTTGGCATTATGTCATTTTTTTCTCTAACACCGGTAAAACGTTCGTCATGGCTCAAGCGGTTAAGTCTTCTTTCATGCAAGGAAGAACAGGCGTAAATAGAAGACAAAGAATCAGAAAAAGAATTAGAGAAATATTTCAAAATAATGCAAATATATTCAACCGAAAATTGAGCTGTAAATCCAAATGGATAAGTATTCAAAAAGAAAAAAAAATGATGAAAAGGAACCCTTTGAGCCCTCTATTCCTGAACAATTTAAACCCTTCTGCCTGAGCTCCTGAGTCAAAATTAGCAAATAATTGGTATGTAATGTTTCACGGTAGATATAAAAATAGTTACATGTGTTTACCCACTGTTCAACCGGTAGCTGGGTATTAAGTTATCTTTCTCTACCTCTGTTCAACCGGTGGCTGAGCATTACGTCATTTTTCACTACCACCGGTAAAGCGGGGTCAGTGCTCAAAGGCTTAAGAGAAAAGAATTTTATAAATCTCATTCGATACTAGCACTGGCTACTCGGTTAATAAATGTCGAATGTTTCCTTATGAGGAAACGCCAAATATTACCATTAACTTTTACAATTTCCTGTTTATTGTGGTTCATATACAATTTATATTTTACATTCAATAAGCCAACAAGGTTTGGTATGTCATTAAATTAACTAACTTAACGTAACTTTCTTTGCCAGATTTCTACTTCCTGTCTGTTCTTCCATCTGTTCAGGACCGTTGCTCTAGTAACAACTGGTAGCTATGTTGTCTTCAGGTCCAATCACTCTCTCTGCTGCTTGGAATACAGCAACAACATATTAAAGTGCACTTAAAAGTTAATGCCATTTTCCATTTCTACCCGTTTCCGGTCAGCTCCCTTACATTGGAAGCCATGTTTTGCGAGAAAAAAAAAAAATCCATAACTGCAACAGATATTTTTTTTATAACAGATCGCGTTCGCGCGTATTTTAAAAGGTCGCCATGACAACGGAATGCACATATTATCGCAGATACAATATGTTGTCTTTGTAATCTATACATTATTCACATTATTCTGACTGCTGTCCTCATCTTTATTGTCATGTTCACGACGTTTCGGCCCTTGTACGCTCCGGCCTTCTTCAGGATCTGTCTATATTTCTGAAATGAGATAGTGAAATTATTTTCATTATTCACATTGTTCGGACTGTTGTCCTCATCTTTATTTTCATGTTCACGACGTTTCGGCCCTTGTACGCCTAGGCCTTCTTCAGGATCTGTGTATATTTCTGTGATGAGATCATTATCTATCCTTCTTTTTGCTTTCTTTCAGATTCATTCTTTTGTTTGCCGGAAAAGAGAAATCCACTATTTAGTAAGTTTTCGTCTACTACTACTACTAAATCCCGTAGTCAAACAAGGATTGAACAATCTTTTTTCATTATTATTATTATTATTATTATTATTATTATTATTAACGTTGCTGTTTTAACAGCACAATACCCAATTATATTTGATAAATCTTTATTTTCTTGTCTAATTTCAATAATTTTTTTTTTGATTTCATACAGTTTTTTTTTTTTTTTTTTTTTTTTTAACTGCCTTCTGCTACTTCTCCCTCCATCAGCGCAGGTCATTTCATTCCTTATTGGATTGACTGTACTTTTCTCTCCATTCCGATGACCACCGAATAGAAATTATTCGGTCCACTGGTTCAAGTGCCCGTTGAGGCGTGAACATGGCAAATTATTTATTGTAAGATGTTCGCCCCACCCTGCCGTGCATCTTGCCTCAAAACCCACACCCAACAAGACGATTTTCTCTTTCCCATCTTAGATTTAGGCTAGAATTTGCTGCGTGTGTGTCTGCGAGAAATGTGGTTGATCGTTATCGAAGTATATAATGAAGGCTCAGCACTATTATTTTTGTAATGCCACCTCATAGCTTGGCATGACTTATTTTTAAATAGACGTATGTTAGAAAATATATATGTACAGGGTAAAGTTCGTGTAAACTTTAAAAAAATAACTTTATTTGTTTTTGCGATAGAAATAATCTGTAAAAAATGTTATAAAGTTTAATGTACCTAGTTTTAAGTAAAGTTATTGAATAATTCGTTACCACAAAATTTGCAAAAATTTTTAGATAAGTAAAAAAAATATTTTCTTTTTTTCCAGAATCAATTTGATCCATGGCTTCAACTGAGGAAAAAGTAAACTGTGTCCTTTGGTTGGCTGAATTGAAATCTACTATTGCTTTACAAAGAAAGTTTAGAATTGAATACAATAGATAACCACCTCATAGGAACACTATTACTAAATGGATGAAAAAAATTTAAAGAGACAGGCTCCGTCCATGATAAGCCACGGTCTGGAAGGCCATGTATCAGCGACGAAAGTGTTGCATCCATAAACTTAAATAAAATTTCAATAAAACCTTAAAACATATAGATTTACTTCTTTCTAATCCTTTTTACAAATTATTTCTATCGTAAATAGAAATAAAGTTATACATTTTTTAAAGTGCACACGAACAAGTGCACATCATATATATATATATATATATATATATATATATATATATATATAGTGCACATCATATATATATATATATATATATATATATATATATATATATATATATATATATATATGCAGTACCATATATATATATATATGTATGTATGTATTAGACTACAGGCGGAAAATTAAATAAGAAAATGGAAAA